CAAGCGGATCCCAATTCTGAACCCGGGTATGCCATGAGTTCAAACGTGTTGTATACCTACAGCAGAGGTGAGGAGCGCTTGTGCATTCCCCAGGATCAGCGGCTCAGGACACTGCTGATGTCAGAGTGTCATAATGCCCGTGGACACTTTGGGTTCTTAAAGTCATATGCAGCCCTGTCGCAACGCTTCTTCTGGAAGGAGATGCGGAGTGAGCTGCTGCGCTATGTGGAAACCTGTGAGCTTTGCAAGAGGAACAAGGTCCAACGTAGACCTTCTCTGGGACTACGCAAACCCTTACCCATACCTAATGGCCCTGCTGAATCTGTGTCGATTGATTTCATAGATTTAGGCAAGACCACCCCTCGTGGCATGCGTCAGGTAATGGTCTGCATGGACAGGTTCTCCAAATACGCAAAGTTCATCCCCTTACCAGAGGTAGCTAGAGTCTCGACTGTGAGAGCAGCCTTTTCAGAGAGGTGGGTCACACACCATGGACCGCCCACTTCTATAATCAGTGATAGAGACCCCCGATTTTGCAGCGATGAGTAGCAGTCCTACTGTAACGCCTACCTGCACTCACGATTGGACATGACCTCTGGTCATCATCCTGAAGCCAATGGTCAGGCTGAAGTGATGGACCAAGTCTTATTCCAATTGTTGCGTCCGTTCATCTCTCCAGATCAGCAGGACTGGGATCTCCACTTGGCTCGGGCACAACTTGTTTATAGTCCATACCGGTTGCACTGGGGACGTGAACCACGTCAGCCTCTCGATGATATCATCGATAAGGCTAAGTCAGACCTAACACGAGGCACTGCAGAGTTCACCATACGCTACCGCATAGATGCGAAAAGAGCACGGGTGAACTTGTTCAAAGCCCAAAAGGCAATGATTGAACAAGCTAATGGCCACAGGCGGCCTTCCCCCATCCGCACTGGTGATTATGTCTGGGTAGCCAGTTATGAGTTGTCAAGGGAGGAGGATATCTCCCCCAAGCTGTTGCCTCGTTATTTGGGTCCATGGCATGTCTTAGATACAATGGGTGCTGATCCATTTGGTCCATCCTATGTCATCGACGTCCCGCTGCATCTATGAACCTACCCGGTCTTTCATGCATCTAAGCTGCTTCCATTCACTCCAGCTGATGCATTCCCAAATCGGCCCCCTCAATTTGGTCCATCGATCCCTGGCAAGGGATATGACATGGAATGGATTGAGGATGAGTGGGGCACAGGCCCCGATCGACAGTATCTTGTGAGGTCCGCCTTCCAGCCTCCTACTGAGAACCAGTGGTTCTACAGGAGGGAACTTCTCAAGACAACAAAGTCAGTTGTTCTGCGATATGAAGCGGCTCAGAAGGGCAACCTTCCTCGCCGTTCACCTCGCCTTCATCCCTAGCTCGGAGGTCCTCGCTCCCCAGGGGGGTAAGCCTCCAATGACTTGCTGATTTTGATTGTCGAGACTGTCTGCGAGGCTGTACAGTAACAGCCGTAGGTTAGATTCGTCATTTTGTTGGGGCTGAGGGCTAACTGAGAGACCTACCTGTAGGGAAAATTCGTTAGGGACATATCTGCAAATATGGGAAATATAGGCCCAGCACTAAGCCGAATTTCCTACAGCTACCCCTATTGCATATAACAGACCCGGGCTACCCCTAGGACGGACAAGCCCAAAGGGGCCTATACCGATAGACGGTCCTATAGCCTATAGCCGGGTAGGGAAAGGCCGAGAGGCCGAAACTGGAATGGTACCGGTCGGTCCAGTCAATCTAGGTGTAGGCTAGAGAAGTAGACTTCTATTAAGAGATTAGGAAAAGAGATTCGGGACTTTTGGATGTTCATTTTTCGCGAAGCAGCGTTTGGAGAAGCCAAGCAAGTTGGTGGCGGTGATTGTCTACAGGCGACATCCTGAGACCCTCGCCGTAGACAGAAGCCATAGTCGGCCCTTCTGAAGGTTGCCAGAGCTGGGGCATCCTTAGCGCATCTATCCCTGAGGGTATCTGCATCTGGCCAGGCTATCTCGAGCCTCTTCACTGAGCGTTTGTGGGTGGCGGCAGCCATAGTTGCCTTTTCTTCGTCAGAGTTGTTCAGCGGCACTGAAGACTTCATCGCATGATCTGTTCTTCATCTGGGTGGTTGACGCTGGCCTCTGGGAGGCTGTTTCGGTTGTGCGCTACTAACTGGGTGTAGGGTAGAGAGTGGAGAGTGGGGTTCTGAGTGTGGCGAGATACTGGAACAAACTCTGTAACGATATCCGG